GTACTCCACAGAAAGGTACAATCAATTATGTTTCAATAAAAAATAAATAAAAATAAAAAGTAAGGATATTCTGACACATGCTACAACGTGGATAAACCTTGAGGACTTTATGCTAAGTGAAATAAGCCAGTCACAAAAATACAAATACTATCTGACTCCACTTACATGAGGAATATGGAGTGGTCAGACTCATAGAGACAGAAGAATGGTAGTTGCCAGAGGCTGGGGGAGGCAGAAATAGGGAGTTGTCATTTAATGGGGACAGAGTTTCAGTTCTGCAACATGAAAAACTTCTAGATATGGATGATGGTAATGGTTATACAACAGTGTGAATGTACGTGATGCCACTGAACTGTATGCCCAAGAACAGTTAAGATGGTAAACTCCATGTTATATATATTTCACCACAGTTAAAAATAAAAATAGTTTTTAAGAAGGATTTGTTGGCAGGGCAGGGCATGAAGTCTTGTTTGAGCCTTACAAGTCCACAGTTCAGTTCTTGCACAGCCTCAGGGCCTCAGTTGACTGTGAAGCAAGGAGTCCTGATGGAATAAGAACCGCCTTCCGTGTCCTTCCCAGATCCAAACTCAAAAGGACAGCTTTTGTTTTTCTCTGTGTTATTTTAAAGTTTTTACTTTTTAAACCTTTTTTCTTCTTAACCTCATATGCAGAGCGTGGAACGCTGGGTTAATCGTATCTCCTCTGTGGCACATCAGCCTCATTGCTTCCTGTAAGGCCACTCTGTGTGATATTTACTTACACTTTCTTATTCTCTTACTCTATTACCACCAGCTGCCATCACTGCCTCATGGGAACTATTCCGAAATAGTTAACATGTGACTTTATTACTCTATGCTCTCGTGTATTTGGTTCTCTTTGTACGTGTTTTTACTAGTCACTAATGTTTCTTAGATCTCTAACTCAGCACTCTGCTTTTAAGAGCCAATCAGGCTTTGCTGTGTCCACCTTAACCACAGCTTCCAGCTGCCCCACAATGTGCTTCCACCACGATGCTGGGATCGCCCCCATTCCTTCATTCACAGAGTATGACACTGCGCCTGCTGATTCCCACAGGATTCCTATATATATGCACAGAGATCAGGATAGAATGCTGGTCACATGCTTCACTGACTCCTCAGTCCCCATCTCCAGAGTGTGCACCATCTTCACTCCCCTGGCTTGGCAGCATGTCTACATGTTCCCGCTAACACTTGGCACAAATGCAGATTGCTGGTTTCTGCCAGTCTCGTCAGTATGAGGTGGTATGACATTGCTTCATTTTGAATCTCTCTGAATAGGACTAAGTCTGAATATCTCTTCATCAGACTTTTGTATTTCCTCTTCTGTAGATTGTTGTTCTAATAGTTTGCCCATTTTTTCTATAAAAGTTATAGTGTATATTAGTTTCCTATTGCTGATGTTACAAATTACCACAAGTTCAGTGGCTTAAAGCAACACAAATTTATGTAACAGTTCTGAAAGTTAGAAGCCTGGAACAGGTCTCTCTGGACTAAAATCAAGGTATCTGCAGGACCGTGTTCCTTGTGAAGGCTGTGGGAGAATCTTTTTCCTCGTCGTCTCCAGATCCAGAGGAGGCCACATTCCTTGTTTCGTGGCCTCTTCTTCCACCTTCAAAGCCAGCAGCTTAACATCTTTAAATCTCTCTCTGATTCTGACCTTCTGCTTCCTTCCACGTTAAAAGCAGGTTTGGGATTACAAAGGGGCCACCTGGATAATCCAGAATAATCTCTTCATCCAGAGGCCAAGCTGATTAGCACCTTAATGCAATCTGAATCCCTCTGGTCATGGAAAGAAATTTAGTCACAGGTTTCAGGGATTAGAACATGGATGTTTTTGGGGAAGCTGTTACTCTGCCTGCTACAGTGTATTTTCTGGCTTATTTACAGGAGTTCTATGTGTGTTCTAGATGTTGATGACTTATTGGTTTCAGTCTTCATATGTATCTTCTTTCTTTCATTTTTCAACTTTATCCACAGAATCCTTTGAAATCTTTAATTTGGTATAATCTAATTTATTAAATTTTATTTTATAATTTTTGCTTTTTGAAATTTTATTTAAGAACTTTTTTTCTGCCCCGGGTAGTAAAGGTATTTTCCTTCATTTTTTTCTATTAACTTTATGGTTTTTACCTTTCACATTTAGGTCTTTAAACTATCTGAAGTTTACTCTGTGTCTGATTTTATGCAAATAGCACATTGTTTTTATAACTATGACTTTGTAGTATTTTACCCTCTGGAAAGTCAGGCCTAAGTCCTAGCTTTGCTCTTCTTCAATGTTGACTCATCTTTCCTTGAATCTTTAGTAACCTTCAGACTTACATGTGAATTTTAAACGTTTATTGACTTCTTCAAAACCCACCTGGAACTTTGATTTGAAATCACTGTACTTATGAACTGAATGAGGAGAACTGACACATTCACATTATTAGCTCATTCTGAACAAAGCATGACATCACCCTTTCATTCACATCAGCTTCTGAGTCCTTTATAGAGTATTAAGTTTTGCCATAGAGTTCTTGTGCATTCTCACATAGGTTAACTGCTAGATACTTTATAGGTTTTGACACCATGACAAATAGAATGGTATTTTTTAAATTATATTTTGTTTGGTTATTGCATAACCATACATTTTTATATGCTGATCTTGTATCCTGAAAACCTGCTAAATTATTTTATTTGTTCTAACAGGTTTTGATTCTCTTGGCTTTTCTAGAATAAATCATCACATCCTCTGCAAATATCAACAGTTTTATTTCTTCCCTTCAAGTCCTTACTGTCTCATTTCTTTAACTTTCCTTGAACACAGAGAAAAAGCTCCAGTATTACATAAAGCAGAAGTAGTGGGAACAGTCATCCTTGCCTCATTCCTAATCTTGAAGTGAGTGCATCCGACATTCTCTGTTAAGTATAATGTTTGTTGTGGCAGGGTTTTGTGTATGACCTTTACCAAGTTTAGGAATATCTCTTCTATTGCTGGTTTGTTAAGATCTCTTGCCATTAATAGGTACATAAACTTCATCAAGTATTCTGCATTAACTCAGGTGTCCTGGGTTATGGATTTAAGTATAAGGATGAGTGGCTCTGATCCACAGTGCCTCCCATCCCTGGGATGCCCCCCCATGGGGGGGCATGGAGAGGCCACTACTGCTGCTAGTGCCCCCAAGACCCTCTGCAAGGCCACTGCCACTGCCGGACCTCTAAGCTGCCGCTACTGAGGAAGCTGAGGACTGAGTTCATGCCATCTACCAAGAGCTCCTGGAATCTTTCCCAATTACCTAGCATGGACCTGTGTGTGAGGGGTCTGGGGACCCAGTCTGTACAATGGGTTTGGAGGGTCCTGAGCCCTAGCTCTGACAATATAAATGGAAACTTAGTATAACTAAAGTAATAACTAAAATAATGAAACATTTTGGCTTTAGTTAGGATTTGCCTTAATTTACAACAATACTTTCATTTTCCTTCTCAGTGGCATCTGCAGCTATTTCTTCTTATCTTTTGTTCCACCGATTGTCACCAGTGTCACTCCTCCATTTTCTTGAATTAGTCTTGAGTCCTAACTATTGATTCTTTAAAACCAAAACAAAAAACCAGCTTTTGGCTTTGCTAATTTTCTCTGTGTCTTATATTTCCATCATTATGTCCTGCCTCGTTGGTTCCTTGGGTTTGCTCTCTTGCTCTTTTTTCAACTTCTCGGGCTGGTTTATCTCAACATTTTCAACCTTTCATGTTTCTTAACACATATATCTACAGTGGTGACAAATGTCCTCTATACACTGCTGTGGCTGTTTCGCATCACTTTAGACATTACTGCTTCATGATCATTCAGCTCCCAAACTCCTTAATTTCCCTTACGATTTTATTGCAATACGAGAGTTTTTTATATAAAATATTATAAGCTATTCTTTACTATTAGTTTCCGATGTAACTCCTATGGGTGGAGAACATATATTTTATTACAGATAGACTTTACTGAGACCTATACACATTTCAGTTTTATAAATGTTCTCTGTATGCTTGAAAATTTCAAAATATACCTAATAGCTCAAACTTATTTATTATATTGTTTAAGACATTAACACTCCAGCTTATTTTCTGTCGGCCTATTTCTTTTTTTTTTTTTTCTTTTTGTCTTTTTTCATGTCCGGCAATGGATCGCAACCCTCAGTGTCGTGCCCGTACCGGACCGGGACCGGCAACGGGATCGCAACCCTCGGCGTCGTGCCCACACCTCACTCAGCCAGTGAGCGGGAACCGGTCTGTTTGTGGGATCCAAACCCTCGGCGGGAGCGTGCCCGCACCTCACTCAGCCAGTGAGCGGGAACCAGTCTGTTTGTGGGATCCAAACCCTCGGCGGGAGCGCCGCCGCGCTCCCAAGCGGTGCACTGTAGCAGTGCGCCACTGGGCCGGCCCTGTCGGCCTATTTCTTGAAGTGGTATATGACAATCTCCCAATACAACTATTCATTCACCCAACTTTCCTTGCAGTTATATCAACAGAAGTTGAGGGCAACGGCCCAAACCACAGGTTCTGATGTCTGCAGGGGGACATCAGGGCACCACAAAAGCGCCCTCACTCCTAATGTTGCCCCTGTACCCAGGCTTTCACCGCCCACTCTTTCTAAATGCTTCAAGATGACGTTCAACCCCCAGCACGTCTTTGTTCTTCATTCCTGAAACCTGGGCTTCCCTCTTGCTTGACGCTGGGGAGGAGCCAGAAGCTTGTGCTAGGTGACCACCTCACAGAACTGGACCCGGGGTGTCCATCCACAACCAGCCCATAGCTACCGAAAACAGGAATCCCCAGTTTTCCCAGAGTCGTGTATAGGAGGACCTTCAGGGCACACTGTAGACTGAAACAGGGTAATATACAGTATTGTACCACTTCTAACACATTCCATTTTTGGGGTGAGTTTGGCTTTGTAATATATATTATTGATAAACAAACAAGCAAGCAAACAAAAGACAATTTGCAGTAACTCACCTTCCCCCATAAGCAGGCTCTAAGGGTCAGAGCTGTTTCATAGACAGCAGACGTTCAGACTTACTGCAACTCAGAGCATCGTAGCCAGAGCTGGTGGTTTGTAGAGGATTGACTTTTGCTGTGGAGCCCACCTACCTAAAAACACAAGAACAGAGGACAAAGCTTCAGCAGGACTTCTTCTAGCATTCAGCAGAGCAGTGAACATTTCTTCAGCATTCGAGTATAAGGCACCATCTGGGATGTGGAGATGTGACTGCTAGCAAGAGCTAGTCCAGGGAACTCCACCCTAAATACCCCAAGGGCGGCAACTCTACATACAGGCAGGTTCCTACTGCACAAATGAGAAATATAAATGAGATTTTTTAGTAAAATTGTGTAAAATTCCTACTTATAATATTTAACATATTTATTGTATACATAATGATTCTTAAAACATTTATTAAGTTATGTATCAATTTAAATACATTGTCGTTTTTCTACTTTCAGGGCTAGTAATTTCATTCAGCCTCTTCAACTTCAGCACGCAATTCTGTCCCAGTAGAGCTGCCTCCTGCACCATCTAATGTTTTTCCAGAGTACATCATTTTCATCTTGGTCTAAATTTTTAACTTTTTACTTATTGAATTCATGCTTGGTGGCAACTTGATCCCCAGTCACAAGCACCCATTTTCATAACATTATCCTCTTTGCTGTATTTTTTAATCTATTCTGTAGGTGCATATTTATGACTTCCACAAATTACTGTTATGAACATCTTAAATGGCTCTTTTACAATAGCCCCCAACATTTGGAATTGTGAAATCACTGCACCAAAAATAATTAGAAACCTGTGTTAAATGTTTTTGCCTTTCTCTGTCAATCTGGCAACTACCTTAGGCAATAAACATACTGACTGGGGTTGTTTCAAGCTAATATGCCTTATCCATACGATACTCTGAGGTTCAAAGTAAAGCAAATGAGAAATTACCGAATGTAAGGAAATTCCACGAGAGAAAATGTGGGGTAAAAACCTCCTGCTTCCATGTGAGCACATGGGTGGAAAGATAGTCATGCAGTGAAAAAAAAAAAAAAGTCATGCAGTAAAAGGGTCAAATGTTACTGCCTGGAGGGTCATAGAGACTCAGCAGTTGAGTTAGCCTTGAAGTCAGTGCATGGGAATATCTTGGGAACCACTAAAATATATGTTTTAAAAGAATGAATTTTATGGTATGTGAATTATATCTCTCTTAAAAAAAGTAATAAATATTCATAAATTAAGGGAAAAAAAAGAAAGCAATGGAAGAGACCTCCCATTAAACATCACAGAATTAAAAGGTGTTTATCTCCACATCTACAGAAACTGCACTAAAGTGACACTAACAAGACACAAAGGCACAAACTCAGAAGCACTACAAAGTCAGGAGAAGAGGGAGCAACCAACAGGAACTGTGGACACAAAGTGGACGAGTAAGTGGTAAATAACATAGAAGAGCAAAGAAAGCTGACACCTAGGCCTGTGAGAAGCTGACTGTCCAGCACATTCTAGAACAGCTGAAGCCAAAGTTGCTGGTGGCTACAGAGAGAAGAGGCAGAGGCATGTTCTGCGTGTTCTGTAAGGAAGTACTGGGCCTGGGAGCACTGGCATCTCTCATTACTTGCTGGTCACGCTTCTATCTCCACAGAAGACCGGAGACTTCCTCTCTAAGGAGCGTGACAACATCTGTGATACAGACTCAATGACAACAAGCATCTCTGAAGACAGTGAAATGCCACAATTAAAATAGTAGGATTAAGTGGGAGAAAACAGACTGAACAAGGAGACCTCTAGTCCCTTTCTCCCAAGGGGCTCAACAGTGCACAAGACCAGAGGTGGCAATCTTGGGATAATAATGCTTTTAGAGAAGAATGACTAACTTGGAAGAAAAAGGCACATCTTGGAATCTTGGTAGAAGAGGGAAGGAAGTACAGAAAGAGTGAAAATTAAGTTTCCTACAGAGATAAAAGAATATCAAGGCCTCAGAAGATACAGTTTTAACCCCATTTTCAAAAGTACCATTTAAAAATTTTATTTTATGGGCCAGCCCCGTGGCGCACTCGGGAGAGTGCGGCGCTTGGGAGCGCAGCGGCGCTCCCGCCGTGGGTTTGGATCCTATATAGGGATGGCTGGTGTGCTCAATGGCTGAGTGCAGTGCGGGCAACACCAAGCCAAGGGTTGCGATCCCCTTACCGGTCACAAAAAAGGCAATAAATAAATAAATAAAATAAAAATTTTATTTTATTTATTTTATTTTTTGTTGTAATTTATAAGAAAATGAAATTTATTGTTTACAGTTTCAGAGGCTGGGAAGTCCAAAGTCCAGGAGACACAGCTGGTGAGGGTCTTCCTGTCTCCATTTCCCTGGAAACCTCTTCCCTGAACTCTAGAATCTCGTGTCCAGTTGTCTCAACTCTCTGCTGGGATGTCTAACAGACATCTCCACTTTCATATGTCCAAAAATGATTTCCTGAGCTAACTTTATGAGGCTGGGAAATCCAAGGTCCAGGGAAACATTTGGTGAGGGCCCTGTTCTTGATGGGAACTCTCTACAGGGATGCATGTTGTCACATGGTGAGAACGGCCTGAGCAAGAGTGAGTCAGAAGTACCAGTTTTTTAAAACTACATTTGGCTAACCAACAGAAAAGGATATTCTTTGACAATGAAACCTGGTAAGACACCCCATGTCCCTCAACACGCACCTTCCCAGTTAGTTCAGGAAAATCTACGAGTTAGCAGAACCATCACTGAAGTCCATTATTGTTCTTTGAGAAAAAAACAGAAAAGTGAAAACTAAAACCTTTTCAGCTAACAAAATTACTCCCCAACCGCAAAGCAGAGAACTCTAACACAGCATTCCAGTACAAATTAAAACTATTAAAAGCATGTACAGATATGAGAAACGCCAGAAATGAAAAACTAAAAATTTCAAAAATACGAATGGACAATTAAAACAAAACAGGAAGCTGTAAAATGAGAATTAACTTACCCCATGAAAGAAATTAGAGAGAAAGGCAAAATAGCCTCGAAATAAAGCATAAGTTATAAGGTGCCAAAGAGAATGAATTGAATGTATAAGGTACATTGAAGAGAGGACTGAAAAACATCATGAGAAAATAAAACAAATCAAGAAGTTAAAAGTGATCAAAGAGGAGCTGGTACATATAGAACATAGGCCAAAGAGGATCCAAGAAACATATATTAGAGTTCCCCTAAAAGAACAGCAAAACTGTGAAACAGAACTAATACTTAAAATGAAAATCCTAGAAATGTTTTTTTTTTTTTTTTTCCTGTTTGTCTTTTTTTTTTTCGTGTCTGGCAACGGATCGCAACCCTCAGTGTTGCGCCCGTACCGGACCGGGACCGGCAACGGGAT